AAGATTTAGTGGTGGCACTAACTTCCGTAATATGGGATATCTAACTGAACAAAGTAAATGCGGGAGCTCTTGGAGATTTGTGAGTGGAAAAAGGTTGGGAACCACTATAATATATGATCTTACACTTCCTGTTGACACTATGTAGTAATCACAGATTCATCACAAGATAATGTACGGTTTATAAAATAATAACATTCCTAACATCAAGGTCAAAGGTAATGGTTGCTCATTTGAGATGACTTTACCATTTATTTAGATGGTGGTACGTCTGAAGATAGATCTATTATCAATGGCCGAGTCTGTTTATCAACTGTTATTTCCTTTCATTGTATCAGTAGGCGATGATTTGGATGCCTTCAGTACGGCTGGTATTTAGAAGATATTGACCATATGGCCGATCACTTTAAACAGATAATCTGGGGTTCTGTTTAAGTGCGTTGGCGAATTAACTGTTCCGAGAAATAATCAACCACCGTCTCACTCAAAAACCCTGGCGGCTAAATAAAAAACACACTCGGAAATCGACCTTTTTTCTAGAGCAGAATCAATAGAGAAGGGTTAATAAAGGCAGTGATGTAGATAATTCAATACATCAGGTCCTAAAAACACAGCTGATTTATGCGATTAGAATAAAATCCAATAAGTCAACGCCAATACGACATTCGAGTTTAGTGCATGTCAGCCAACCTGCTTTTAAATCATGATCCATTATCACTTATAAGACAGGTTTTCATATTAAAGGGTTTGTATTCCCTGGTTTCCCCCCTATTATACTTCTACGTCAATATCATGATTCCGGTTTATAATGGAATGACGTTTTATAACCATATAGTTTTTGCGCTATGTCAATATACCCTTGAATACCATAGTGATTGTTCCTGGAAACCCAAGATACAATCACGTCTCTATTTTGTTCAGACATTTTCTGTCAATGTTATCGTCAGAATTACATTTTTAAAACACCTTTTGTGTCATTTATTGCAAATATATCCATCTAATGAAACATCTAGAATTTGTCAGTGGGTGGACGTACCTGAAGTGGTTCAGTTGCAGCACTTCCCACTTACAATTGACGGATTTTTAAGTAGAGTAATAATGACAGTTGTATGACGCAAATGGATAAGAATGCAAACAAACTTGATATCGCGTCAACAGTCTTAAAGGACAACGTTTCCGTCTCCGAATTAAACATAGTGATAGAATAGGTTCCAAGAATAACTTATCGCTCTCTTGTTGGTACAGAAAGTAGGGCGTTAAACTCCATTTCATTTTATTTCATTTCTCTTGTACAATTAATAACAATAGTTCCAAATATAACTTATCACCCTCTTGTTGGTACAGACAGTAGGCTGTTAAACTCCATTTCATTTCATTTCATTTCATTTCATTTCTCTTGTCCAATTACTAACAATAATAAGTCTCCTGTATTTGCGTCACATCCGGAACGTGTGTGCAGATTGTATGGACCAAACAATAGCAAAAATTATATTTTCAGCACGTTTAACCTTTTCTGACATGGTGGATGGCAACATTATCAATTAAGATTTCTTAACACTAAAATCACCAGAATTATATATGACAAGTATTTAAAATATGGTGGTATCAACCTTATTCTTTGATATCTTTATATTTGGCTTAAAATTAGAATATAAATTCAATTTTAGATATATTTAGCATCTTGATTCACTTGAAACATCCCCCGTCATAGCGTACTATTTATACTTTGCTATACACGCCTGAGAATTGAATGTATTGCTTAAATATTTGAAACATTTTTTTGGAACTGAGTCGAGGTATCAGAGGAATGTTGTAGTAACTTGCCATGTGAAGATGACACCAATCTTGCATCCACCAGTTGTTTGTTTATTTGTTTATATTTGTGTTTACAGGAAATAGATAATTTAATTGTATCATTCAATATATATAATGATAGTATTCACTGTAAATTATGTATTATCTTGGTATTAAGGCGTATGATTAGTAATTAAGTGGGTGTTAGGGTTGCGTATTTATTATATTGTTTCAACCGTGTGCCGGACTACTTAAATAATATCAAGGTTGTTTTTATTGCCAATGAAAACGTTAACACAATTTGATCCGCTACTGATTAAAAACATGGCGATTATTATCAGATAATGTAGCATGAAATACTTTCAGCAGATCTTCAACGAGATATTCACCTTTTTATCACATTAACACCGATAACGTGAACCTAGGGTTATTTTATAAAAGATTTATGGCTACTTTCACGTTTTATTTATGGCAGTTGTTGATTGGAAGATGAAGGATGGTTCTTTGCGGGATTAACCACTTGATTATCTGGTCTTATAAACAACTAAAGGAGAATTGATCGGTTCATGCCAAACAATTCGCTACAACTGTCTACCTCAACTGCTCATGGCGCAATATTTATCGGCCATCGATATTGAAGGTTAATTATGGGAGACGAATTGGGCATTGAAAATTTAAATGCTCTTAATAAAGACCAAATAAACCCCGTTTCTTTCAAGATATTCGACTGCCAATCAAGAGTGTGAGAATGGAATATGAAATTTGTGGTATCAAGAATGACAATGTGAAACTGAGGGACATGAAAACCCTGGAGGTTAGACAGACGGCCCTACTCGTTATCACGAACAGACCTGGGATCAAAATGTTGGCCCACAATAGAACAAAAACACATAGCAAATGTTGGCCTACAATAGAACAAAAACACATAGCAAATATGTCTACAAATTAAAGATATTCATGTTTATATAACCTTCTACGCGTTTATCTAACATGACATTACAGAATTTCCAATAATTTTATTCATCTTTACCATTTACATGCAAGAATACGATTTCAGATACCGCTTCTTTACAAAAAGTCATTCGTCTCTGTTCACATACGAGTCCATAAGTTTAAAATAATCGTACTGAACTCACAAAGTGCTAGATTTTCTTGTTAAAACTTTAATATACATTATGCAAGAGCTAAATCTGCCTATTACAGGTCTTTCTTTATGGCTGAAATGTTATCTAAATTATTAATTAGACATTAATTAACTTATTCAGACCATAATCAACTCTCGATGTCATAGCTAGCCAGCAATATTTACTGGATTTGAATCCGATCTGCTGCTCAACGCTCATTAATGATTAAATCGAAAAATGGATAATCGAGACTATGTTTTAATCGTACCGACTTTAGTAATGATGATCGAGGCTAGACATAAAAGCTAATATCTCGGTTCAGAGTGGATCAATTTGACTGAAATTTCCAGCAAATCCATTTACATTATCTAGTGTTTAATTAGTATAGTGAAAACTGCCAGCTCTTTATCTAATCTCCCATAATGTCCCTTTAACTAGTTAAATATTTTTCTTGTTAACCAATTAACTCCGTCCAGCCCTGCATATCTTTAACAACAGAAGATTAGAACAACTGTAATCACCACAGTTCTTGTAAAATACTATATAACGGAATATTAGTGTAGCCGTCATCGTTTGTAGTGCTACTTATTCCTGATTGAATTATACAACTAATTACATAATCTAACATGTTGCTCTTAAACTCTGATGTTGTTGTAGATAGTGCAGCCTATTAACTCAATGGATCGTAAATCAGGGAATATTGGCACCACTTTCAGGAAATTGCTATAGAAGAGATAACAAGACATTCAAATGAATTCCAGGAATAGCTGTGATTATGTTTTCGTTCGGTTTTACGGTGACGTTTACAAACATGATTAAGAGGGTTACATCTGGGAATCCCTACTTCAGACGTCAATGATTGATGATTGGTTTAGAGGTTATCACCAAAAGCTCTGACACTCTCAAATCTCAAAACCGAATAAGAAATCAAATCACATTTTCAATGAAACACTATTAGATTGTTGTAGACACCATTTATATTTAGACGTAACATAAAAAAAAGTTAAAACCAGAATATAACCGTCCTCTTCCGCTGCTCGTGTGCTCAAGATGGCAATCAAACGAGATCTTAACGAGGACTTATTGAACGGTGTCTTCCTGTTAAAATGTGTTTGGGTAACCCAGATCAAATGACAAGAGTTTCGGTATGAAATATAAATCAACTCTAATTTCCACAGCTAAACGTTTTCTTGATTTGTCTGAAAGGCGCACTAATTGGAACAACTTCTCGGTGTTGATACGGACCAATCAAAATGCTGGAATTAAACTTAAAGACTAGGGCCTCGGGTGATAAATTTACTCAAGGTTTCATCATTCTGTTGTTTTGAACTTTTTGCGAGAACATACAATGTTGAATCATAAATAACTCTTACAAAAGGCCACAAAAAGGCAAATACACGTTCATAAAAAATTATGTCTAATGGAAGGTCAGTCTGATTAAAACACAGATTCTATTTCGTTTCGTTTTTTATACTTCAAAATTTCGTTTTACTTGCCTTTACGGCGACTTCTTGGCGTGTCATGCACGGAACTTTGGGTAACCAACAAGAAACGCCAACGCCGATTGATTAATCAATGCCTGACATCATAGGGTCAAAAGCCGCTCGTACGATCCCTGATACGACCTTCGAGTACAACTAGTCAGATCTTCATGTAGTGTAGGTCATCGAAAGTATAAAAAAACGAAACGAAATATAGATCTGTATTTTAATCAGATTGATGGAAGGTATATTATATTTCATAACAGCGCACCAAATAATATATAAATCCGAATTATGGATCAAATTCTCATACCAGAATGCACACAAAGGCGCTGTAAACTGTGTTTAATAGAGATTTGTTTCAACATTTCACAAAACCTCAAAAGAACATTTTTACCAAAGACATCGAAATAGTAAGCAAATTCTAAAATTAAACACACAGAAATATGAAATCTAAGACCAATTGCTAATAATAAAAACAACATCCTTTCACTGCTGAAATCAGACCTGTTTCAAACCAATAAAAGAAAACTACAAGACAATTAAATATTTATAAACAATGCCTAGGTTGTATTTATATTACTAGTGTTTACACAGTACTTACCGTGTTTGTTTATTAGCAACTATATTATGATAGAATTGATTCTCTGTCGTCGATTTAGCTGTTGGAATCTGATCATCTATAACCCATGTTTCTACCATAGAACCTTTACTCCCAAAAGATACTCTGAAAATATAAGAATTCCCAATACGTTCATTTTAGACAGTCATTTTGTATAGAGACAACCCGAATAAAATACATGTACATAATGAAGTTAATTTTAAAAATAAATTTTTATACTGCCTTACTTATCCGAGCAGTTTGCAAATGTTGTCACAAAGTTATTCTTTCGTACATAAAGCAAAATATGTTGAGAAAGAGGAACACTCCGGTGTAATTAAAGGGAATTGTTAAAATTCGGCACAATTTTTCGTCTTACTGGTTTGAACCATACGTGACTTTCTAGCAGTGCGAGAGCGTTCACGGGATTCTACAAAGTGAACAAGGACAATAAAGCTGGAAGTTGTTATCAGATATTCAATGGACTTCATTAAGCAATGATAAATGTAGTTTTTGTAGTGTTTTTAAGAGGTGTGGGCGATGGTTCGACTGACAGACTGCAATATACTATCGATTTTTCCGAGATTACACTAAATTTAAAAAATATGGATTCATGAAAAGAGAAAAAAAAACATGACCACTTTTATGTACCGGAAGTTGTGATGTTGATCACCATAGTAACAGAATTTGAATCAATGATATTGTTAACCAAGTTTAACACTGTGTCAACACATCATGCAAGATAAAATTCACATCATGATACATAATCAATGATCATCGTAGACTCTCTTTATATTTTACCTGTAAAGAACTCCAATCAACAAAAATATCTAAGTTTGAAAAATAGGAACTGACGTATAACCCAGTCTGACTGCAGTGCAGCTACGGTTGATTGTCGATTACAATTGATTTCGTTAACTGACCAGATAAAGCTAATGTTGAGATATAATCGTTTGTTTAAAGGGACAATAACACTCTTGCTGGCTTGACAGCTCCAGAAAATAAAAATAGCCTTATTCTAAGTACTAGATGTGTTAGTGTCCTACCTGTTGTGTAAATTATCCATTAAATCCTGTTTTACTTGTCCAGAGGGTTCAAAAATATTTTTAAATCCAAGTCACATTTGAAAAGCTTTACGTCAGGCTTTTCAAATCATTTAGTTGAATTTTTCCAATTTTTTTTAAATTAGGTGTGTTAAGATGAAATTTGTATCATCAATGAATTGGAATATTGTAAAATAGTACAATTTGTTGACCAGAATAAAGATTGGGACATATTAATCAGTTACAACAAGAGTGGTATTGAGCCTTTAAGTGTCACACAGTGACCCAAAACCGAAACTAACATTTTTTAAGAAAAGAAATCGAATCGTATACAGTTATACGGCAGTTTTTTCAAACATAAATACATTTTTTGATTGGAATTCTTTACAGGTAAATATATAAAGAGAGTCTACGGTGATCATTGATTATGTATCATGATATGAATTTTATCTTGCATGATGTGTTGACACAGTGTTAAACTTGGTTAACAATATCATTGATTCAGTTTCTGTTACTATGGTGATCATAAAAACAACTTCCGGTACATCAAAGTGGTCATGTTTTTTTTATGAAAGCTTTCATAAAAGAATCATCACCGGAACTTTACGGTGTGATTGTCTAAAACTAAGGTTCATATTATTCTCTTTACTACAATCAACAATCATTATTCAAATTTCAAACTTTGCAGCTGTTTTGGCAATCTGGGAAAGTGAAAGCCCTATTAAATATGCGCAAAAAGGCTAGGGGCGGGGGGGGGGGGTGGTATAGGACGGATAATTAGACCCGAAGAAAGCAGCAAGGGCGGGTTCATGCGCGTCGGTTCTCCTCTACTCTGAAGATATCCAATAGCGCCCGTTTTGATACACCAGTGTTAAAAATAAGCGCATAAGCTTTAAAAAAGAATTTACAACAACTAAAAAATCCAGTTAACGAGAAAAACAGTGAGTCCTTTAGGGTCTGTGCTTAAGGGAAGTCACAAAAGAAAGTCCACCTCGATAATAACATTGTTGAATTGGTACAAACGCTGCAAATTATCCTGCATCCCTACTTGAAGCTATATATATATATGTAGAAATAGATATTTGTGTATGTAAGTTGCGGGAATAAAAAGAAAAATGATAATCACTAAGCGAATAAATGTAGGATTCCATATTATTATCATGATAAAATGTTTTGGATGTTCTTCAGAAATCTATCTCATTGTAAAGGGTGAAATGATATACAAAATGGCACGACTCATTCTCACCTCGGAGATCTTTATATTGACAAAGAAATTCCAGGGCATTGATCAAATATTCAACCATAAATCTGTGTACCATATGTAAAATATAGATATGAAGAATATTTGTTTACTGTATTTGTTGTATTCTATAGAGAATTATCTGTATAGTATTGTGGAGCCACTATATGATTACTTTGTCAATAATGTGGTTTCACGAAGGTCAGTGTCTTGTTGCCAAAGTTAGATGTTGGACCTGTCAATCATGAGTAGTGATATTGATAAACAAGTTGATTGATATATGTTGATTTCTTGTACAAGTAATACGTCAAATAGACGGTGATGAGATTTTCCGTTGGTCTAATAAATGCCATTATATGGATATAATTCTCATACGTCGCCTGTGTCCAAAAGAGTAGTCAAAGAAGACATTTTAAAACACTCGAATTGGCATCATGCAACATGATCGAGTATGTTGGCGTGAATTGCATGCAGTATTTGAAGTTCACACTTCATCCATTACCGAGCAATACCCGATTCATATAGTTATAATCCGCAATGATATCCAATGCATAATATGACACGTTATTAAGTGAGGTGTGTTGAATGTTATCTTGTGATAATGAGAGACGGTGAGGGGGACAGGGGAATGAAATGAGGTTTAACGTCCACTAAGCAAGTCTAACAGAATGATATTTTTTTATTTCAGTAATTATCACCTGCTCTAAGTATAGGTCAATCCTCGGATTTTCGGTAAAACCGGTGCGCCTAAGAATATCTTAAAAAATAAGCTTATATATTTTTTTTTAAAAATTGGTTACATATATTTCCTTGATTGAATTGATAATGCATCTTTAAGTGATATCAGAAAATATACAAACATCATAAGTAGTTCTAGAAAATGTTTTTGAAACAATATTTGACACAACATTAACTACAAGACTGATTTTGTGTAACTCAGCTTCAATCATTAAATGGAAAAGGAACCGTTGGAAGAGGTTAAAACGACTGTGTTTTTATTATTGCAATGGTTCACGAAGAACAATGATGTGTCTGCTATTTATGGCACTCCTGTTTAGATTTATTAAGAGAATAGTTCATTAAAAGACGTATTTATTAATAGCACCCAGGAGTCTCCTAACAACTTGTAATTGCACATTAGTGCTTAAATTCCAAGCACCGCATATTCAACGTAAGAAAGTTTACCGAGGTATTTACGGAAAATGACGGGGGATGATTCCTGTTATGGGAAAATACCCTATTGCAAGAAGCATCTCAATCATGAACATAAGCGTATTTGAATGGGGAACGGGGGCATAACACCAACCCATCACAGACCAGCCATATAGATGGGACGCAAAACAAACCCGAGGTCTCGTGTACACATTGGCGTGCACGTAAAAGAGCCCTTGACAGCTGGAATTCGAAATAAGAGTAGGCCATAGCGCTGCTGTCCGGGCAAAATTCCCCTCATAGTACACTGCATGTCGTATGCCCGTATTCATTTGCCCAGTAGGAACAGAACAGTAGGACGTTAAACCCCATTTTATTTCTTTTCATTTTATTGTATATTGTAAAAGCTTGATGAAGCTCTTTGCCAGCTGTCGTATGACATTTGCGTCACAATATATATCTCAGTTCTCTTGAATATTGCGCAATATGTGGCCAGTGTAACTGTCGTTACTGTAAGCTGGAACATAGAACGGAACAAGCATATTCACCTCAACAAATGAACAATCCTCTTAACCAAATTACCATCAATTCAATTCAAGCTGACTGGAAGATCATTGGTTTTATTGAAGCAGACACGAAGCCGGTAATTATCCGAACGAGGACAAAGAATAGCGTCATTGTGACCTTAGTTTCGTATCTTATTGTCATCAAAGGGCTGTTTCCTGGATACAGGAAACATGTCCTGTTATCAGGAATAATGAAATCTATGCAAACTCCAGAAATAACAGAATAAAAGAACTGTGGGATACTATGCAAGTAACCAATTGTCAATGTTATAATTAACTGAGATGGATATAAACCGACTATGCCAAGCCAAAGGTATAGATAGAAGTTGATATTTATTTCATCAGTTTATTTGAAGGAAGGGTTCGTGCCTATGAAGTACAATTTGTCCTAGTTTGTAGTGGATTTTGACAATGGGGCAATAATAAGTGGAAGTTCTTTGTGGTGAAAAAAATAACATTCGAAGAGAGTAAACCTGTTTTTTGAATGTACCATTTGGTTCACAAAAGTTCACATTGTGTTATACCAATAAAGACAATTCGACACGACAGTTGCAGTTTTCAGAAAATATGACATTATGTCAAACCGCAGAACATCGGGATAACACAAAGGTATAAATGATACCAAAGACTCCCCAAGCGGTGTAAATATGAATAAAACAATTGCACTTTGCACCCGAGAATCTCTAAGGTACAAAATTACATCTGAAATTCGCTAAAACCAATTTCATTTGAATTCTATCCACCACCAATTATAAGTGAGAAATATTTCTTAGTTCCTGGTTTATTGTATATAGATCTGTCTGTATTTAAAGATTAAACAATGATTCCAGACACTTCCATTTTTATCCAAGACAATTGACTATCGTTTTATAACACAAATTCAAACAGTCAAAGATGTGAATGTTTTCAAATTCCCGTTTTTTCATATTCAGATTACTACCTAGATTGACCATAGCTTGCTTTATGTCTACAAAAGTCTGATAATGTCTACTTGAGTAACAGAATTAGTAACTATTACAGTACAATTCTGGTAGTACAGCATTATTTCAGCCATTCCAGAAAAAAATTAATACAATTCAAAATTGTTAATTATGTGAACTTTCAAGTAAATGAGTAGATCTATAT